TGGGGCCCAAGTATTGAAATGTCCAAGGCTATGGGGACATTTGTTATTCAAACCACTGCACTCACTGAACCATCTTTCAGGTCCTAGTAGTTATACTTTCCATTAACACACCAATAGAACACTGTGACTTCTATACAAGATAAATGAACCTCAAATTACTGTAATATTCAGTGTGTTTTTAAATGCCCCAAAAGAAGGGAAAACTGCTTGAAAGAAATAGTGAGCTCAGAGACATGTATTTGATTATGTTTTGAAGAAAGCAAAGTTCTTTAAAGTCAAAGTCTTACATGTTCTTTCAGGAGCTCCCTTCTTCAGCCTCACCTGTTCCTTTAGCCTCACTTAAAGTTATCCCTGTCCCCAGAGCTCAGGCTGCCTTTGCCCCATTCCCTTCTCCTCCCTGGGGTTCCTGTCCACTGCCATCTCTGTACAAAATGCCCTTTGCTTGTTTCTCAGGACACTAGCCCTAATGTGCTCTTGTGTGCTCGCTCGCATTCTCTCTCTCTCTCTCTTTCTCTCTGCCTTTCTCTTTCTCCCCTTCCACTTCTTCCCTCTTTTCCTCTCTGTCCCCATTCCTCTTTCTCCCCCTTCACTTCTCTCCCTTTCTTACCCCTCCACATATTTCTTTTTTTTCCCTAGGTCCTTTCCACCCTCTCCCTTCCTCCTCCCTTCTCTCTGCCCCTCTTTTCTTTCCTTTACTTCTTCCCTCTCCCTCCATCTCTACTTCCCTCTCACTCCTGACTCCTTCACTTCCTCTCTTGCTAACAGGCACACACACCAGACAGGGGATTGGTGCCTGCCCTCCGTGATCCTGCACAGCAATGAACTTCACTGCTCACCATCTCCCTCCCTCCCTAGAGCCTGGCCACAGTGGCTTCCCCAGTTCTATCACAGTGTCTAATATAGCCAATAATCAGTATGTATTTACTGGTCCCTGAGTGAATTGCTAGAATGAATGGCCACAAAGTTGACTCAATTGTTCTTTTCTCATTGATGTGACAAAATGCATGACCTTTGCAATGTAAAGAAGAGTCATTGTGATTCAGTTAGGGGATACAGTTCACCATGGCAGTAAGGAATGTGAAAAGGAACATGGACACATCCAGGAACATTGTATCCTGTCAGGAAGAATAATGCAGATATAGTTTTCATTCATTCTGGGACTTCATGGTCTCTGTTTCCAGGTTATTGGAATCTTGTTTTCAAAAAGGATATATTCAGAAGCAAAGAAAAAGTACAGAGTGGATACCCTGAAGGGGACCATGGGGTAAATGAGATTTGCTTAAGAGTTCCTGGTTACTGTGGGTCCAAAAAGATGTGTTAGTTGGTAGGAATGGAGTATAGGTGATTGTTTTTGTTTGTTTAGTTGCCTGCTTGCTTGCTTTTTTGATTGATAGGCTTGGGGCTTGGGCCTTTGCTCTCCTTTCATGTGCATGTTCTTTCCCCTGGTGGACCTGATTTTAATCATGAACATCCACTCATGCTAGGTATAAGGTGGTAAATAGGTTGTTTGTTTTTTAACTAAAAGCTCACTCACAGGACACAATACTACACACTCACTCAAAACAATTCTAGGCTAAACTGACCCACTGTCCCCAGTTCCCGGATACATTCCAGTATGCATTTGACCAAAAGGGAGTTACTAAGGGATTCTAAATGTTATTAGGGCAGAGTGACCATTCGCTTTGTTTAAAGAGAGATTTGCATGCAGCACAGTGCAGGTGGAAGCCCTGATTCCTAAATGTTTTCTAGATCCACAGACTGCAGCCAGAGACCAACCACTAGGCTGGTTTGAACTTCTGAGACTCAAAGCCCACCCCCATAGTGACACACTTCCTCCAACAAACCATAGTACTCCAACAAGGCCCCACCACCTAGTAGTGCTACCTCCTATGGACGTATGGGAGCCATTTTTATTTAAACCACCACAGCAGGGTCACAGGTTGCTTTAAGACCTATCATGGAATGCAGCTGCTCACAGTTAGGGTGGATCTTCCCACCCCAACTAATCTAATCCAGGTAAATCCTCACCTAATCGCCCAAAGGTTTATGTTCTGAGTGAGTCTCGATCCTAACAAGTTGACAATATCAACAGCCATGCAGAGGCTTGACTAAAAAGTGAGCCAGTGAAGACTATAAAGGACATGGAAGCGGTTTGGGCGGTTGCTGCTGCTGGCCAAATATTTCCAGTCTCATGATCCGTTGCATTTCCTGACTCTTGTGGAGGGGTGGTTAACTTTGAAACATGGATAAACACTGAGGTCCCTATTTAACATATCAAAGCAGACCTGGCCTCTGGGTTCTCCCAGCCTCCCTCAATCCCTACCTGTTAGAGGGTAGGGCTGGCATGCACTGCCCCCTACCCAGAACTCTCCAGCTCAGGGTCTGGGCTGCCCCTCCCCCAGAGGCTCTTCCCTGTATAGTGCAGACAGTTTGGTCTCCTGCCCCTTTTGTGCCTTTGTCCTCCTGGCCGCTGTACCTGATTCCTCTCTTTTGGCTCTCCTTTCCCTCCCCTTCTCCCCACATGGCTCAGGGTCATGACCACTCTGGACTCTCCCAGATGTCTGCCTCTGGCTGTGCTCTTCTTTTTATCTACAATAAACTTTCTTTTCCACCAGACCTAGGAGCAGTCATGTCCTTTCCTTTCCCTTTTATTTTTCTTCATTCATTGGTATCATATGATATCGTAACCACTCTAGAGGAGAGCAGAAGTAAAATATGTGTTAGCTTTCTGTCACTGTGACAAAAGGCCTAAGAGAATCAACATGAAGGGAGGAAAGGTTTATTTAGGCTCATGGTTTCTTTGGGTCTGTGGGAGAGCATGCCAGAATGAGATGCTCTGAATGAAGAGAGGACGAAAGAGATGAACCACATGTCAAATATCTTCAAGATGGACACACCCCTGATGACCTAACCTCCATTATGCTCCACCTGCCAAAGGCTTCCAGCTTCCTCTCCATAGCATAACCTGTGAAGGACCAAAACTTTTAGCACATGGGCCTTTGAGGGACACTTGTGCAAAGCCAGCAAATGTGTTACTTCCTCATCAAGGCAAGCAAGCACTCTGAAGCTTTCTCCTGCATCTGTCAAGTGTGCATCAGCTCGAGCCACTGAGTCCCTAAATATGAGCAATCTTGCTGCTGACGTGTAATGGACATAAAATATGAACAATAAAGTGATGTGGCTTAATCTGCTGAGATCTGTGAGCTCTGCTAAGGTGGCCTAACACTACTTACCCAGGAAAGTTAGGCAAAGAAATTGTGGAAAGATCTTTTCGTTTGTTTGTTTTTCCATCTAAATACCTTCTATTACACTGTGGTGGGTTACAGTGAGACTGGCTGAGAAATCTTGTTCTAAGAGGAAGTATCTGTTAGTATGGTGAGAGTAGAACTGAATTAAAGGAAATCTCTGAAGTGGACATACCAGTCTAGGTGACTCAGATTTTATGCTCAGGACAGGATTAGAAAGATGGAGTTTTGCAACTTGGGTTACAAGGAAATGCTGCTAAACATTACTAGAAAAGACTGCAGAAGGTAGCTTTAGGGGAAAAGGCTTATTAAAAACAAGAAAGAAAGGAAACAAAACCACGATGGCATATGCCAGCAGTTCTAGCACTCAGGGCACTGGAATAGGATAACTGAGCATTCATTTGAGGCTAGCCTGGGCTGCAAAGTTCAGACCTTATCTCAATAAAACAGGAAAGTAGCTTGTTTAGTATCTATAGCTGTGCTAAACACTGTGTGGAGCAGTGATTCTCAACCTTCATAATGCTGCATGCAACCTTTGAATACAGTTCCTCATGTGGTGACCACCAACCATAAAATTATTTCATTGCTACTTCATAACTATAATTTTGCTACTGTTATGAATTGTAATTTAAATATCTGACATGCAGGATTTCTGTGACCGCCAAAGGGGTCGTAACCCACAGGTTGAGAACCACTGCTCTAGAATATACCCTATATTCACAAAGGAATTTCGGGTCACATTCACTTGTTGATTATGCAACTGTTTTTTTGTTTGTTTGTTTTTGTTTTTGTTTTCTGGTGCTGGAGATCGAAGCCACAAACTTACACATGTAAATCAAGAGTTCTACCACGAAGGTACAACACCAACCAAGCCCTAGTGAACACCTTTAAAGCACTATACATGCTATATACCAAATAATTAGTAGAAAGTAATCTTTGTTTTTATGGAGTTCTTAGGCCAGTAGTGGAGATAGTCATATGTAAAAATGATCATCATACTACAGCACTATAAAAACTATGTCAAGGCTTGGGATGTGTTCGGTAGCTGAACACCTGTCTAGCATGAGGGAAGCCCTGGGTTCAATCCTCAGCTGGAAAGAGAGAAATGGAGGAAAGAGGAGGGGAGGAGAGGAGCAGAATATCTTGGATTTCATTGTGGTCAGTTTTGGGAATGGTGGAGGAGGGCCAATGTCTAATGTCTGTGTATGGAGGGGCAGGGGAAAGGAACCCAGATAGGCAGCAGTCACAATCCTGGGCATATGTTGACAGACAGGAAATACTAAATTAGATTTTAGGGAGATCTGTGGGAGGTCAAGAGGTAAGCTGAAGCAAGAAAGGGAGTGATCTACAGTGATAGGTTTATGAAGGGCCCATTTGCAGAGAAATCCAAGGAATCTGAAGAGTGAGTGGGTAGCCACACTTAGGAGGCACAAATTGGATTTTAAGGAACTTGGAAGATCACCGTATGGTGAAGAAATAGAGCTAGTGGCCATATGAAGCAGCTGTATATGCCGAGCTCCAGACCAAAGAATGACAGGGGGAAAATTCCAGGGCACGGAATAGCAGTTCAAATTTCATTTTATATTCGGTATTGGAGTACTCAATCACAAAAGGAGGATGGGGGCTGTTAAAGCATTAAGGGTCTGAAAGAGAGATGAGAGTGGGATACAATGGAGTGGGATGGGATGACAGGGTGTGGTATATTCACTTTGCATTGCACAGATGAAATGTCTGAGATTCCCTTATTGCTCACAGTTTCAGGTGTTTCTGTCCTGGTGACTTGGCCGGATTGCTTTTCACCTATGCTGAGGCAGCATGTCCGGGAGGCTACGTCCCTCATGTCCTCGGAGTTGCACAGGGAGCAGAGAAGGGAGTCCCATGTGCCCCTTCAAGGGCACATCTATGGTTAACTTCCCTGACTTCCTCCCCAGGATCCTGTCCCCACCTATGGTTTCACACTCCACAGTAGTGTCAGGGCCTGGCAACCGAGCTTTTAACACATGGTTCCTTGGGGGATATTCCAGATGCAAACTGTAACACGTGACATGGGATGAGATAGGGCAAGATAGCACAGCAATGCACAGAATGGGATGGCCTGGGATGAGACCAAAGTCTCATGGAAGTGGAGCAGTTGTTCTCTTTGAAAAAGAGATAAATGGTTTATTTTTTAAAGAGAGAGGAAGGATAATGGTGTAAACATAGATAAAGAATCATCATGGAAAGAGAGGGAGATTAAAATTTTTGTTGTTTAATGTGAATAGCATCAGGTAAGCATCACAAGGTTCCCCTCATGCTAGACAGGTGTTCAGCTACTGAGCACATTTAAGTAGGTTTGAGAAGAATAGAAAAAGTATAGTTATTATGACTGAACCTGGGAACCAACTAGAGATCACCACAGTCATGTCAATCATTCTAGTGCTTGAAAAGTTCTGGGCAGAGGAATCTGCATGCATGTGTGTTGTGTGTGGTGTATGCACACATGCATGTGATGTTCTAGTGCAAAGAGGATGTTGGTAATCTTTCTCTATTTCTCTCTGCTTTATGCTCTTAGGACAGTGTCTCTCACTGAACCTGGAGCTTCCTGTTCTATAGCTAGACTGGCCTGTGTCTCCACCTCTCTCCCTAACACTGGGGTATAAGTACATGTGGCCACATCCAGCTCGTTACATAGGTTCTGAGGATCCAAACTAAGTTCCACATGCTCACACAACGTGAGCCATCTCCCCGTTGGCAAGGGTAATTTTTAGTTATTCAGGCTTTTTATCCTGTGTATTGTGAGAAAAACAACCTCACTGGTTTGCTCACTCAATACTAGTATTGTTCCCCAGGGATTGTAATAAGCAAAATCACCTAGTCTCATTTCCAGATACTTGAGTTAAGAATCACTCAGCTAACATTTCATAACCTAACAACACAGGCAAATCAAGTTGCTACACTATCTGACCTACCCCAGGAACCTAAGTTCAGAATGTAATAATCATAAAAGCTTTGATAAAGATTTGGGAATAGAAATAATCCTAGATGCCTCTCCTTGGCTGTGAATTCTCAGTCTACCCCTGTTGTTCCATTCTCAACATGTGCATTTCTAAAGTCATTGTTGCATTTTAAATACAGTTGTATAAATGTGATGCTGATTCTAAGATTTTTTTTAAAGTAGGCAATGTTCTACTAAACCCCAATAAAATACCTAGCTTTATAAGCCTGGCTCTTTGCCCAAGATGGTGGGAATTAAAGTGGAGCCAGGCAAGGAGGACAAAGGAAACAAGTGCCCCTGCCTGACCTTTTAGAGAGTTCCTGTTGAGGTCTCCAAGAAGACCACCTCCATCTAACAAAAAGAGAAAGGGGCCTAGGAATTTGAACCTGTACCTACTGCCTATATTCACAAACACCGCTCTGGAAAGGCCGATGTAGGAACACCACTGTTGAGGAATATGGAAGACTTAGAACTGCCAAATACAGAAAAGAACTCAGATAAATACAGCCTCTTATCGAAATAACCTCTGAGAACTAGTGCCTGCCTATATCTGAGAGCTAGACCTCAGGTCCTGCTTATCAGACTGTCTTATGCATTAAGCATGCCTCAGTGCACCTTGATAACCAACTCATCTGATAATTACTTTAGCCTTCTTGGATCCAACTTTGCTGACAAAGTCAATGAACTTCAACCTGCCAATTCTTATGACTGTTTTGACCCAGTGTATTGGATTATAGTCTTGAAGTAAGCCTTGTCAATTAATCTTCAGTTGTGTAATCTCTGTCCATTTCAGACATTCCTTCCACATAAAACATAGGTGGCCATCTATCTGGTTTGACTACCTGCTTGGCTTCCTCAAAGTCTTTCAGAAAGCTTCTAAACATGATGCGCAGCTCTGTCTCTTGTCCATTAAAGAACATTAGCACACTCAGCTCCAGTAGCTTTCCATAGCACACTTGCAGATGTTTAAGACTGCAGGGCTTCCAGTAAGATGGAGTACAGAATGAGTGTGGGACCTTCATTTCTGGATGAAAGGTCTCCAGAAATCATGCACACTTTCATCATTGCTATTATCCAAGTAGGAAACACAGATGAATTGTTTTAAATCTTGAGATGTGTTTATAAGCCAGTCCTCATTCCAAAGTCAAAGACTTCAGGAAAGATTGCTACATAAAAGTAGCACCTACTAGATCACACACAGCTTCTGCTGTTCTAAGTGTTGATTCTAGAATGCAAATTAACACAACTGATTCTCTGTCATCGGGTGTAAGTGAAACTGTTAAGTTATATGCATTGTGTAAGTCAACTCACTATCAGAAAATGAAGTTAAATAATAATGAAATAATAAAATAAAATAATTGGGTAGTTTGCAGTTGAAACAACTGTTTTAAAGAAAACAATGTAATCATGTCAGTTAACGTAAATATAATGTAGACGTTTAATATGCATACAATATCCTATATTTTAAATATATTTTATAGTCTGTAAACCTGTAATTTTCAGAAATGCTATACATTTTAGTATCTATATGTCATTTTGATCAACCAAGAAAGGTTTCCAAGTCACTCAAAAGAATTTCTCTGCCATATGATACAATGATATCAAGGTTTTTGAAAGGAAGGCAATAAACCACTATATGCAACATCCTTCACTAAGTCTGATAACCTTCATTTTCTTTACCTGCATTTTTAAACTATACTGAGGTTTGTATTTTAATACCATGGGAAGGTGTATCCCTATCTGTCAAGTACTGTTTCTGTCAAGATTCTCTCTAGCCCATTTCACACAGCTCTCCTATACTCCAGGCTAAGTGTTTGATCCACCCAATTTAGCATATTTCAGCGGTCACATATTGACTTTGAGGTGCCCCAAATGCTGTAAATGTAACAAGTGTGCAGAGTGTCTGGTGGATATTCCCAGCTCATTCTGGAGAATAGTGACAGTGTCTTCTACTTTTTTGTGTCTCCCAGGATGCAGACAAGAGCCAAAAGTCCTAGAATATAGATAACTAACTTCTGAAGTAGTTACGTTTCCTGTTGTTCTGATAAAATACTTTTATAAAGCAACCTTAGGAAGGGGATATTTTGGCTTATAGTCCAGGGTACAGTGAGCCATGGCAGGGAAGTTACAGTGGCAGAAGCTTGAAGCCGTTGGTCAAATTGCATATACAGTCCTGTGAGTTTTAGTGGTTAGATGTTGAGACAAGCTCCTTTACCTGATGAGCCATCCCACCTGCCCTCATTCCTTTAATTTTTGAAACTAAACATACACCACTGTAACAGGGCCTTAGTAGACCCTGAGACTCTAGCACAACTGACACCATGATGGAAGTACCATTCAGGCTATAAAACAACACTAAAACAAAGGCCTAGTCCATCCAAGTCCACAGATACAGGAAAGTCTCTAAATGTACTAAACTTGCTTTTTTGCTCCTATAGTTCTGCTTCTGGCTAACTGTTACTATTAACTGAAGTATGTCAACCCAGGACATCGTTTTTGTGCTTAAAAACTTACCCTGAGAAAGGCTCAGGGCTACACTGGGATCCCAAATACCCAGTGTACTGGATGGCCAACTAATAAAAACTTTCTATTTGCTTAAACTCATGTCTGAGCAATCTTCTCTAGTGAAGACCCATCACTGTAGCTGTTCCCTGCAACCACAAGATGCAGACTGACAGAAAAGCAAATCAAGAATTGTAAGAGATTAATTTCCAAACACTTTAGCTCTCATGAAATCAAAGTTGACATACTTCAGGAAACACCAAGGAAAATAAGAATTAAACAGAATTATTTGTAAAAGGCCAATGCAAGCTGGTGTTCTAGAGGTAGTGGGGGCTAGAGTTTAACTTTTGCTTTTTATTTTGTTTTGAGTAAACAATAACATGGGCTGAAGATTCAAAAGGATGTGTGGCTCACTGATAGAGTATTTGTGCATCACAAGAGAGAACTCTTGTCACATTAGCAGTTCCTTGAAAGGCAAACCATCAACACACACTGAGTGTCTTAGTTTGTTCCAGAGTGCAAACCCTTCTATCATCAGTAGTGAAGGATTGACTAATCAGTTGAGCCCAGGTCATACAACCTGGCAGCAACTGCTAGTAAAGCAGAAGAACATGCACTGCCTGCAGCCATAATCCAAGGCTTGCCAGGAAAAGATGAAATGGAGACATTGTTTAGGAAAATTGAGATTCTGGCACCTTGATTCGTTTCAGTGTGTAGATTCACTAGACAGTGACATCAGGACACTCTCATCTCCATTTTTTTTACTGAAGCAGTGGTGTTTATCTTCTACTTTGGAGCATTGATTAAAAGAGAGCCTATTTACTTCTGAGATTACCATGAAGAGCTAGTGAATGGCATTCTCCAAAGTCTCCAGAGTTAAAAAGGATAAAGTGCCAGAGAAGTTATTCCAAGGAGAAAGGAAAAGATCCAGTTTAAAAAAAAAAAAAAAACGGAGAAAGAGAATTTTCAAAGCTGAGGAGGTTTTCCTTACAGTATAAATCAGGTGCATATGTGTAAATAAAAAGCAGAAAGGTGGTGATAACAAAGGCTGGACCAAGGAAAAGAATGAGAAGATTGGCAAAGGGCCAATTTATACATTCAGTCAGTGACTATTAATTCTATAACGTATAACAAAATGGACTTTCTGACCCAAGGATGTTTAGAATTTTGGCTTTTGTTCCCCAGGGGTTCATATTACATCATTTGAACTTGTCATGTTTTGGACACATCCTCCAAAGCCCCCATGTGTTAAAGGCTTGGGTGCCAATCTTTGGTGTTTTCAGATGTGGTAGAGAGGAAGTTGCATCATCAGGACCATCCCATGAAGGACATTTAGAGTCCATATCTCCTTTATATAGTACATACTCCTTTCCACCATGCTGTGCTGCTTTTCCACAGGTTCAGAAGCAATACAGCTAAGCAACCATGGGCTGAAACCTGTGATTCTGTGAGCCAAAATAAGCCTTTTCTCCTTCAAATGATAGAAATGTAACTACTACAACTCTGAATTATAAAAATCCTTAGAGCAAATATCAGAAGCATATGCAGACAAAAAACTAGATCAAAACACATGGGTGCTTGTCCCCAAACCCAATGACTTGAAGTCTAACCACAGAGCTCACATGATTATATGCAATGTGACCAACTGCTTCACCCTCCTGTGTCTCACATGCACAGGCAATCTTGCCTTTGCACAGATCAAAAGAGCATGAATTTCAGTTACTACAATCATTTGAACAGTTTTCCAAGCACACAATTCCTATTCTAGTTAACCATGATATATTACTTGAGTGTAGTTGTGTAGTCAGTATTCACTTCACACATACACAGAGAGGTGGGGGAGGGAGAGGGAAAGAGTGCTGTGTTGCCTACTTGACTTCCAATGATAAGTTCATAAGTCATTGACAGACACAGCTATGCAATAAAAAGGAGACTGCACCAAAAAACAATAACAACAGCAGCAGCAAAACCGGTAAGTGGTAACATTGGAAGGAAAATCCAAATCAGCCACGAGAAAGAGAAACTAAAGAAGGAAAATGGTGGGAACATTGGTACTGTGGGTGCTTAAAGGATCACAGCAAAGAACAACTTTTTCATGTAAGTGAGGAAAGTGATTGGAATTAAGAAGATAGTTCCCAGAGGAAATGATACCACCCTCAGCCCCAAGTAATAACAACAGGCAACCGTCATTGAAAGAGAGGTCAACTCCCCAGATTCGGTGCAGGACACACCCAGACACCAAATTCTTAGCACAAAGGAGACTATCCTGGAGGGGCAAGAAGGATGGGGAGATCCTGCAAAGACAGTAACAGCAGCCAGCAAGCAAGAGAGGCTGTTTCTGCAGGAGTGGGATTTTAAGGGGAGAGTCTGTGCTAGGGTGAGTTGGTAAATCCTGATAGGACATACTAGCCAAATAAAGAATTGTGATGGGTGGACCTTGGTGTTTCGTCTCTGGAATAAGTCAGTGGCCAAATAAGGGAATAGACCTTGGAGGGTAGCTTTAGGGATGTAAGGTTTTTAGCAAGGGAGAGGGAAGGGGTTAAAAGGGCAAAACCTGTCGGCAGTGTTTGCCATGCTGGAACTGCTAGAGCCCCTTCAATCAGTAACAGTCACAGCATAGAAAATAGAAAATGCTGGAAGCAGGTCTGATCCTAGAAGACTATAACAGATAAGAGTAGAGTTGCTTGTTTGTTTGGGTTTCATGAAACTGTCTCTGGAAAGCTGACATTTCCAAAGCTCTCCATTTTTCTAATGAAAACATCCCATTTGTGATTATTTTTCCATAGTGATTTACTTTTGTATGCCCTTCTGTTCTTGACTGGAGGGTTATGTCTCCCTGACCTGGATAAGATCACACCTATGAATTCATGCTAAAACCTTAGAATTCCACTGTGCTAAGCATATCCTTGATTTATGCAATAATAATCTTTATGTTTTTCTTGGCCAAGCAGAACTCAAGGCTCATCAGTTTTCTCCATGAACATCACTTTAGTCACTGAAGAATGTACCCAGCCCCAGTTCATTCATGTATGTCACGCCCAGACTTTAACATGCCCAACCCCCACATCAGTTCTTCCTGTCAAAGTAGCGTGCACATTTGTCACTTGTTTTTGAACCCTGAAGGAAAAAGAATTAAACTGCTTTTATAGAATACACCAAGTCATCAAGGTGATCGTGTCATACAAATTATCATGCATCCTGGTAGACTTGGTAAGTCCTATGTCTCCAGTATAAACAGTATAAATGTGGTATCTTGTTGTTGTTGTTGTTGTTGTTGTTGTTTTAAAGATTCAGGGGCTGGAGAGATGGGTCAGTGGTGAAAAGCACTATCCATTCTAGCAGAGGACTCAGGTTAGGGTCCCAGCACTCACATGGCACCGACTGTATGATCATCCATAAGGCCAGTTTTAGGAATCTAGTGCTCTTCTCTGGCCTCTGCAGGCACCAGCAACACCTGCAGTGCCTCACATGCATGGAGGCAAAACACTTAAACACATAACATAAAAATAAATACACCCATTTCTTTTTAAGATTCAACATGTTCTCTATTATGTGTATGTCAACTAAGGAAATATTTTTGTTTTGTTTTCATTTCAGAAGTAGAAACAAAATGTTTCATGAGGAAGTCTGAACTTATAATTCCAGCATTAACTGATGAGTTCTGCACACCCAACTTAGAAGTTCTGTTTTTTAAGCTTTCCGAGTCTTCATGAATACTTCTTTGTGTGTTGTAGGCCTACAGGCACAAAGACATGAGTTCTCTCCTCAGGACCAACATTTCTTTAAAAATCTGGACTTAGTATTACATGCTTGTGATACCAGCTTTGGGGACAGCTGGGTTTGTGGGTCTAGCTGGCCAACCAGCCTCACCTATTCAGTGAGTTCCTGGCTAGTGAGAAACCCCGTCTCAAAAATATTCAGCATGAATGGTGTCTGAGGAAGATCACCTGAGACTGACTTCTGGCCACTGTGCATCTACACTCACATGCATGTGCACTTATAAATACACTCAGTCCACTTAGTGTGAGAAAAGCCTGACCTATTCCCACTTCTCTACTTCTGGGCAAGCCCTCTGAGGAGGTCCTGTCTCTGCTTGCAGATGGTAGGGTGGTAGTCAGGTATCTGGCAGTCACAAGCAAATGAACTCTACCTAGTAGTCAGGGGCAAGCAAAGTGGAAGAACTAACAAGTGTATCCCCAGGCTAGGCTGGAATCAAAGGCTCTTTGTTTCTTGAGAATTGGTGACTGATGACAGCTTCATCAGTCATCTCCCTAGAAAAGCATTTCCAGCTTGCTCTCCCAGTCCTCTGAGAATTCAGTCAGGTCTGAGGAACACCTCTTCCCAAAGGCTGGGTGCACACAATGGAGCTGTCTGTGCAATGAGCATTGTCAGCTCCTTCTTCTGTTTATCAGGGTGTGGTGGATCTGGCTCATACACCAATGCATAGTCAAATCACACGGTAGCAGGCAACCTGCAGTAGCATGTCTTTTAACGCGATTTGTATGACTGCATAATTTGTATGGTTACTTGAGGGTAAGACCCTGACTTTTCCTTCTGTGTGTTATAAACTACTGCAGTCAGCACCTGCAACTTTTACTCAGTAAATGAGCATATTAAAATGACCCTTGCAATGGACTTCTGATCTGATTTGTGCCTAGTTCAAGTGCTGCGAAAACCAGGAGCATGTGGAGTAGAGAGGTCATAAATGCTGGCTGGGTAGACTGCAAGGCCACAACCATTTTATCTTTAAGCTGATCTGTTTCTATTTGGTGCCCTTGTGCCCTTTCCATTCTGTCTAATCTGCTCAAAACTCAGGCCTTTTCTTGATTATAGATATCAAGACAAAAGCATTGGTTTAAACCGTGCCATTGGTGTTGGCTTCTTTTTCACAGTACTGAGAATACCACCTAGACCTTCACCCATGCTAAGCAAGTGCTCTGCCGCTGAGCTGAATTTCCAGCCCTCAGCTGTGCCACCATTTCTTTAATATACAGGGGACTTACATGTTGTCTGTGCTTCTCTCCAGTGTAAGTTCTGGACAAACAGACTTCTGCATGAGAGCCTTCATCCATTTTACAAAGTGATCTGGCAAAGTTGGAAGCAGCCATTGTAGATGCTGGAGGCAAGAACTGAGTCACCGTGTCTCACTTAGGGATTGTGCTTTCCAAATGTTAAGAAATATGGGGAAACAGAGGCATTAACATATTTGATAAGAGACTATCAAAATCCTCCAGATAGAGATATGCAGCAGCTACAAACAAGCTTATCATTCACTTCCTTGTTGTTTATGCGCCACTGGGGCCGATGGCAGACACATTCATAGTTCTTCACATTAATATGTGAGAAAAGCCCTTTAAACTATTGCTGGTTGATGCCTTCTGGAAGAGGGAGTATCCGTTTTCTTTAAGGGTGTGCCCCCCATAGGTTGTCCACACTCTAGTTGATGGGCCCACACCCATGACGACCTGAGCAGCACAAATTGAACCATTTCAAAATTGTTTCCTTTCTTGGATTAGATTTTTAATAGTTTTTTATTATAATAAGGGGATTAAAAAATAAAATAGCTATTTACACTGTAAATGCTTTTAAGTCCTCTAGGTTAGATCAAATCAAAATATTTCAAAGATTTCAGAGCATTTTTCTTTTGTTTATTTATAATTATTTTAAATTTTAAAATGAAATGTAATTGCATCATTTTCCTCCTTCCCTTTCCTCTCTACAATCTTTCCCATGTATGAAACTTTGCTCCTTCTCAAAATCATGGTCTCTCTTTAGTGTGTGTGTGTCTGCCTAAATATGTAAATGCAACCTGCTCCTTCTATTCAGTGTTACTTGTTATGTATATGATTTCAGGACTGATCACTTGGTACTGGCTAGCCAATTAGGTTGTTCTTCCCCAGGAAAAACTAGTTCCCCCTCTAATTAGCATTATGTGGTACTTATAGTATTTTTTTAACTATGGGTGGGTGTGGTGATACAATGTGTCCCCCAATATATTGTGCAACCTAATAAAGCTTATCTGAGGATCAGAGGAAAAAGCCAGCCACTATATTAAACATAGAAGTCAAGCAATGGTAGTACATGCCTTTTATCCTAACATTCGGGAGGCAGAGATCTGCCAGGGACGGCATATAAGATGGCTGGCGTGCTGCCAGCAGAGATTGGAGAAAAGGGGACCTGAGATTGTGGACCATCAATACCCAGATCTTCTCTTAGCAGGCCTCTAGAGGGCCAAGGCAGAAATGCCTGCGTGTCCCAAGGTCCTGCTTTATGGCGTGCAAGTGCCATGTCCTCCTCCACATAAATACTTCTTCTTCTAGTAATACTAGTCTTCTTCTTCTATCTGATCTTCATGTTCTGTGTTCCTGGATTAATGGTGACTTCTGTGATGCAGGAAAGGAGTGAAGTAAATTTCACAGGAAATTATACAGAGGTGATCACCCAGGCTTGGGTTAAGGCAGTTGTGCAGTTCATGGAAAAGAACCTGCAGCCTGGGGAAGCTTTTCAGGCTTGGATAAACTGTACCGAATGTATGGTCAACTATAGCCCATGGTATGATGTGTATCAACACACTGGACTCAAATTGGCCATGATGAATAATCCAGTTTCTGAGGATATTCCAAGGGCATTGTGTAAAACTTGAGACCCTAAGGGGTATTGGCTAATGACTGTGGACAGAGTAACATATAGATGGGATGGCAAACTAAAAGTGTGGGAACCTAGAATAGGAGGAAAATAGTGGCCTCCACCAAAAAACGGGAGATGGCAACTTTAATTCAGACATTTTTTTATTCCTCCTGAAGGAGTGTGGAGATAATGTGACAACTGATGGAGTGATTGCTACAAGCTTTATTGGGTTCCTAGATTGAAAAGAGCTGCCAAGAAAGGTGAGCTTCCTTTCATAGAAGCTCTATAAATTAGATTAGGTCTTCCTTGAAATTGTTGGATATAGAAGGACAGAAGTTGCTGACTTTCAGGGACAGATTTCTTGTCTAAGGTCATTGTGGCCCACCAGTCATGGGGCTGGGTGTTTGCAGAGGGCTGAGGAAGAACTTAGGCGGCTGCAGGGGTCCTGAGGTTGGAGCAGACTGTGTGATAAGGAAATGACTGTCTGGTATATTGACCACTGTGCATATTTTTACCTTTTTATTTTTTTTTTGTGAAATTGCATGTTGCTAGCCTCTGGGTCAAGTGCTCAGAAGATTGTATAATCATTAATAATAAAAATAGATTATGCTTGCTTTGGTGTTAAGTCTGGGATAGTTCCTGTGTTTAGTAAAAGATGATAAAGAATATATTGGTGATTTTCGAAGAATAACCTTTGGAATCATGAGAACATTCTGTATTGGGTGATTTTCCCTTTTCTTTCTGTTCCCCCTTGCTTATAATCATAAAAGACTGAGGTCACCAGGGCAAAAGCAGAAGCTAGGGAAGCTAAGGAAGCTAAGGAAGCTGTGGCAGAGAAGCTACTCAGCAGCTGCAGAAGCCCGAAGTGACCTGTCAGCTCGCACGAGGACTGTCTCTGAGTCATTACTGCACCTTCCAGGTATCCCATCCTTCGGACCCCTGAAACTGCTGAGACTAGTCCCCGGCAGAGATCCATCTGGATCTCTATGAGTTCAAGGCCACACTGGGGAATAGAGCCTAGCACTAACCATAGAGGTCTGGGGGACTGTACAGACAGACAGGAAGTGATGTAGCTGTGTGGAGAGAGGAAGTGAGATGTAGAACAGAAAGGCATATAGGCATGGGTATACAAGAGGTAGGTCTCTTTGGCTGAGGATTTCCAAGTGGTAAGAACATGGCTGGCTTCTTTCTGCTTTTCTGATCTCTCTGTTTTTACCCCAATATCTGGCTCTGGGTTTTTTATTAAGACCGGTTAGCAATTCATCTTACAGGTGGGGCCCTGTAATTCCTCCCTTTCATGTTAGTGTGTCTTTTGTTTTTGTACATCTTCACCTTTGTTTAGGCAGCCATATTGTTGAGATATCATGGGTGTAGCTTCTCTGTCATTTCCAGGAGATGACTGTGTCAGCAGATCCCTGCTCCTCACACTTTCTGTTCCCTCTTGTGCTGTGTTCCCTGAGCCTGGGGTGCAGGAGATGTGTGGTAGATGTACCAACTGGGACAGGGCACCTAAGGGACATAAAGATAACTATTTAGAATGCAGTTAGGACTGATGATGGTATACTAAAGTGGCAGTTGTAGGCAGTTGTAGATCCCTCTGGGATCTCACTAGCCAAAGGCAGTTGGCTAGGCTTCCAGTGCCAGGCATGATTTCCTTCTTGTTGAGCAGGCCTTAACTCCAATTAGAGAGCTATTCGTTACCACCAAGATATAAGCTCCACTACTGTACCCTTAGGGTTATCATGCCAGGCATGCCATCCTTGTGGTTCATAGGCATCACAGTGGGGTAGAACTGTTGGTTGCTTCCTTCCCTTGGAAGCTTGCATAACACCTTCTAGTACTATGAAAGCTAGTCTTAAGGGTGGAGGCTTTAATGTCAGATCCAGCTCAGGTACTCTGGGCCTTGTGTCCAAAGTACGACGAATCTTCAGCAATAGGGACTTACTTTCAATCTCTGATAAGCAACCAAGGGTTGCTTATCTGTTCCCTCCACCCATATATTTGTATATTAACCTTCTACACTGAGACTTCATCATTTATTGGGTCAAATACATATTATTTGTTGATTCCATCAGATTTTTCACATAGACAATTATGTTACTTGTCAATGATAACAGTTTTACTTATTGCTTCCCTGTGTTTTTCATTTCCCTTTCTTGTCATACTTTATTATTCAGAACTTTCATTGTGATCTAAAGAATGAATGGTGACAAGGGACCTCCTTGTCTTATTCCTGATCTCAACCGGAAAGCCCTCAAGTTTCATATATGCACACTTTTCAAAAGATCAAAATCAGATTGCCAACGCAGACCTACACCAAAGAAATCATGAAGGCTTTATTTATTTTCTAAACTGAAAGGATTATTTTTTTTTGCCTACCTAACTCCCTTACTAAAATTGGTGATGGGAGTTACAAGAATTTATTATTGGCTTCTCATTAAGCTCTTAAAAATATGCAATACTTAATGGAAGTATAATATATATGTATGTATATTAGAATAGAATTCATAATACCAAGTGTATAGTTGGATGGCCATATAAGCACACAGTAATACATTGGTACTACAGATGTATTAATACTGGTAAAATGTTCTTAAAAATAAAACATTAACAGGTTTTGTTGGGCTGAAATAACCTTGAGACCTAAATCAAGGGAAATAATAAATCACTCTTTCCTTCTGAATATATATTTTTTAAAAATCACAAATTAAATTTCACAATGTGCGTAGTGCTCAAGTTGAATTTACTTCAAGAATGCAGGTTGGGGACTGGAGAGATGGCTCAGAGGTTAAGAGCACTGACTCCTCTTTCAGAGATCCTGAGTTCAATACTCAGCAACCACATGGTGGCTCACAACCATCTGTAATGAGATCTGGTGCCCTATTGTAGTGTGCAGGCATGCATGCAGGCAGGACAATGCGGGTTGGGGCTGGTGAGAGACTCAGCAGGTAAAGGTGCTTGCCACTGAGCCTGATGACCTTAGTTTGGTCTCCAGCACCTGCATGGTAGGAGAGAACCAATTCCCATAAGCTATTGCTGATATTTCAACATGTGTACCATGGCACACAAACACATACCACCAACAGCATGCACACAACATAAATAAGTGAATGTAACAAGGAAAAAAGGAATTCAGGTTGACTGGATGTTATCCACACTCTTGTTCTAATATATTGCCAGATAACAAAGAAAACACAGCTACTGTAAGCAATTATGGAAAGTATAATTTGGAGCTTCAGGTTGGACTAAGGAGCTTAAACATATGAGATAAAACTTTGAGAAGAAAATAAAGGAGAATCAATTGCTGACAAATAGGTAAAGATTTATGTCAGAAGACATCTGAAGCAGATCATTGAAAAATTTGACACACTGAACAATCCTACTTACCAGTAAACCCAACAAAACCATGAATGTGAAGGGACTAATTCGTAACACACATGCTTAATAAAGGATTGGTTTCCAGAATACACAGAATTAAGAGAACTTGAAGAACTCAGGACCACTAAGAAAAAGACAGTGATCCAACAACAAAAGACACCAGTGTGAATTTCCCAAAGGCAGCAGGAATGGCAACAAACAAGAAAATAAAAGATTAAACCCCATCATATGGTGGCAATGAAACAGCCACTGTAAAATATACTGGAGTATATGTTAACTTAGAGAGCTATGAACAAATGTCTCTTCAACCCAGATAGAGCACAAACCTAGACCAAAGGAGCAATTCCAGTGAAACTCAGCTTGGAAAGCCAGCTTGGAAAGACCCAGAGTGTGGGTCAGGGGGCACTTATTGTACATGAGTGACCCCGTAACAACTGCATCACTGCAATGTCCTTCCCCATCATGATGATGACTTCATGGAAGCTGGAGTATCACTTTCAGTTAACTTTCCATTATTTTACTCTAGCACCTCCCAAGATCACTTGTTGCAGGGAAAGGGCAGCGAAGAGTGATGGGTGGAATACCAGGGGAGGGTCCTGTGACACTTTACAATGAAGTGGTACCTCTTTGGTCTACTCAGTTTGTTGCCATGGCTACCAAGCCAGGGTAACCTCTACTCCAAAATGGTGATGGAATTATCAGGTTATGTCAAATAGAGAAAATCCATATCACAATGTGGAGAGATTTTCAATTGCTCAATAATTGCAAGTATGAACATATATTAGAATTCTGGAAAACACTTGGCTCAATTAATGTAATAAAGATGCACATGCCCAATAATTCATTAATTGAACTTCTACATCAATAACCCAGATAAACCTTGGTATATGAATAGTAGGAGGTGTACAAGAATGTTCATGGCAACTATGTTCACAAGAATTAGACTAACAAAATCATATAAAAATTAAGTGTTCATACCTATAAATCATATCTGTGACAGTATTCTTGCCTAAAGTCTCCTAGTGCTGGGATTGTGGCTTGATTTTTGTTTGTTTGTTTGTTTGTTTGTTTGTTTGTTTGTTCTGGCTCCTTTTATTGACAGGATATTTTTTATTTTATTTATGTGGGGCAGAGGCACCAAAAGAGGCCAGAAGAAAGTGTCAGATCTGCAGGAGCTAGAATTGCAGATGGCTGTGAGCAGCCTGGCATGTGTTTTAGGAACCAAACCAAGGTCTTCTGCAAGAGCAGTAAGTGCTCATAACTTCTAAGCCATCTCTCTAGCCCCATTAACCATTTTTCAGTCCTTCATTCTTTACTCAAGATAGATAGATAGATAGATAGATAGATAGATAGATAGATAGATAGATAGATAGATAGATAGATAGATAGACAGACAGAGACAGAGACAGAGATATATATTGTTAGGGTCCAAGAGAATCCCCCAAGAAAGACCATCAGTCACATATGCAATCAACAATGGCATTTATTTCCAACATGTTGGGGTGGCAAATTGCCACCCTGAAGTGAGGTCGCAAGCTCCTTTTAAGCACAGTTTAGGGAATTCCAGGGAGGAGGGATTCATCTGGTGCTGATTAGTGGAGGAAATATTAGTCTTGGAGCTGATTGGTTGGGGACTTTAGTGGTTAGGGACCTTCCAGCTGCAGGGTAAGGAAAGCTATCTTTTTTTTTTTTTTTTTTTTTTTTTTTAGTCTTCACAAATTCAAGTATTTTTTTTATTAGGAAATTTTTTCATTCATTTTACAAAAATCAAAGATACCCCTCTTCCCTCCTCCTATCCCTCCAATCTACCCCCGACCCCCATCACAAGAAGACAAGGCCTCCCATGGGAAGGCACATCCAGTAGAGACAAGTTCAAGCCCTTCCCCTTGCCTCAAGGCTGCACGAGGTGTCCCATCATAGGTAGCAGGCTCCAAAAAGCCCCATCATGCACCAGGGATGGATTCTGAGTCTACTACCAGCTCCCCCCCCCAAAGCAGATCAAGCTACACAATTATCTCGCCATGCAAAGGGCCTAGTCCAGTCCCATGCAGGCTCCACAGTCATTGATCCAACTTTCATGAGTTCCCACTAGTTTGGTTTGGTCGTCTCTACAAGTTTCCCCATCATAATCCTGATGCACTTGCTCATAGAATCCCTCCTCTCTCTCTCTCTCTCCTACTGGATTCCTGGAGTTCTGCGTGATCAGTCGTTGGGGAAAAGCTTAGTTAGGGTATTCACCAATCTGATCACTGGGGCAAGCTAGTTCAGTTCAGGTACCTTCTCTACTATTTCTAGTAGTTCAAGCTGGGGTCATCCTTGGGGATTCCTGGCAACTTCCCTAGCACTGGGTTTCTCTCTGTCCCTATGATATCTCCTTCTATCATTGTATCTCATTGCTTTCCCTCTCCATCCCTGCTCTAGCTCAACCATCCCATTCCCTCATGTTCTTATTCCCAACACCGTACCCTCGATTGCCCACTCCTCACCCCCATGTCACTCATGGAGATTTCATCTATTTCCCCTTCCCAGGGTGTTCCATGCATCCCTTTTTGGGTCTTCCTTGTAAGGTAGCTTCTCTGGAGTTGTGGGTTGTTGTCTGGTTATCCTTTGCTTTACTTCTAGTATCCACTTATGAGTGGGTACATACCATCTTTAGCTAGCAGAAGGCTTGGGGGGGCGCTCCTGCTGAGCCAGCAGAAGGCTGTGGGGCACCTGCTGATTGGTTGCCCTTGAATTGTGGTCTTCCCAAGAACTGCTTACTCAGCTCCAGCCAGTTCCAGTTAACCAAAACTAAGTCCTGGTCCCTGGCTGGGCTATCAGAAACCTGTCATGGCTCTGGTCTGGCTCCCTGGCCCTCTCATTCCCACCTTGAGTAGTGCATTATCTCAAATCCTTGAGAGGCTTTTCTTCTAAGTTTATAGGCTTGTGAAGTTTCCATCCTTTGGGACCTTTCATCAGGTGTGATCTGTGGAGGCACAGTTCCATGAAGCATAGAAAGTCATTGGCTCTCCCATGGGTCTCTATCTGGGCCTTATCTCTATCATATTTAGGGAAAACATAAAAATGAGTGACTTTTTGTAACTTAGCATCAGTTACCCTAGTCCACTTTGTGTCCCCAAGTCAAAGTATAGATAAGGAAACCAGGTCCCCAAAAGGGGCTGCATGGGAAGTCTGGTTCAGGAACTTTACTGAGCCAGCATTGATTTTCCATGTGAGATTAAAGGATAGGTGTGGGTCTTGGTCCCCATGGTGACCTAACTGGAAAGCCCAGCAGGCATATGCTAAGGAAACATAGGGACAAGCCTATCACTAATCTGAGTCAGTGACCTTCTGGATTCTCAGTTTTAGTGGGTACTGTGGATATGCATTGGCCTTCCAAAGTCCAGAGTTGATTTCCTCTGGAGCATAGTCCTTAGGACCAGCGTGCGGGTCCACAGGCCTCACATGGAAATGATGAGTCCAAGTGGGGACCCCATCCACTTTGACAGCTGTGGGTGTTTTCAGGGTGACAGTGTAAGATCCCTTCCAGCCCAGATCCAAGGTCTCCTTCCTGTGTCTCTTGATGATTACCAGGTCCCGTGGCCAGAACCGGTGGGGCATAGGAGGCAGTGCCTTCTCATAGACTGTACGCAGCTGAGGCCAAAGTTGTTTCTGCACCTGAGACAGAACTTATGGGGAGGAGAGAAATCCTCAGTCATTAAATTTAGCCAGCAGTTCTGCTCTGACATGAGGCAGAATGGGTGGTAGCCTGACATACATGATCTCAAATGGGGTCAGGCCTAGAGTGTAAGGAGAATTGCGAACCTGGTAAAGAAGAGCAAAGGGGAGGAGAGACATCCAGCCATTGCCACTCTCAAGGGTTAATTTAGTTAAGGTGTCCTTCAGGGTTCTGTTTATCCTTTCTACCTAGCCTGAACCTTGAGGATGATAAGCACCGTGATGTTTCCAGCTGGTCCCCATAGCCTTAACTAATTTTTGTGTTACATGTGAGATGAATGCAGGCCTGTTATCTGAGCCCAAAATCACAGGGAGGCCATACCTCGGGATAATTTCTTCCAGCAGCTTCTTGACCACCATGACAGCTGTCTCATGTTTAGTTGGGAAAGCTTCAGTCCATTCTGAAAAGGTATCTGTGAAAACTAGCAAGTATTTATAGCTATATAGGCCTGGTTTTACCTCTGTGAAGTCAGTCTCCCAGTTGGCGCCGGGCTGGGTTCCCCTCTCCTTGCATCCATTTCTCATGACTCCATCTCTTTGCATTGATGAGATGGCATGTGGGACATTGGCCTATTTTCTTCTGCTGTTTTGGCCTTAAGGTCAAAAGCCTTAAGATGTGTTCTTCTCATATATGTCAAAAGACGTGTGTATTTTTGAAAAATAGGTTTTTAGGATATGATTACCAAAGTATCGGTGTTTCTGAATTTCTAGAAAAGTCTACAAAATTAAAAAGAGTACACAGAAAGAAATAATGAAGGCCAGAGCAGAAACTAATGAGATGAAAATGAAAAACACTAGACAGCATATCAGAGAAGCAAAGAACTGGCTCCTTAAAAGGATGAACAAGAGACTGGAGAGATGACTCAGCAGTTAAGACATTTGTTTTTGCAGAGGACCTGGGTTGGTTCTCAGTACCCACATGGTGGCTCAAAACCATCCTTAACTCCAGTTTCAGGGGATCCAGCACTCTCTTATGGCCTCCAAAGGCACCAGGCATGCACATAGGCAAGCAAAACATTCATACAAATGAAGTAAACAAATCTGAAAAAGAAAGAAAGAAATGGATAAACAAGATCAATGAACCTTTTTCCAAATTAACCAAAAGATTCAGGAGAGAGAGTAGGTGGATCTCTATGAGTTCAAAGCCAGTCTGGTCTACATAGTGAGTTCCAGGTCAACCAGGGATACTTAGAGAGATCAGGGCTACATAGAGAAATCCTTTCAAAAAATTAAAAGAAAAGAGAAGAAAACATGTAACAATAAGTGCTGGTGAAGTACTTACACAGTACTGGTAGGGATGTAAACTATTCTAGTCACTATAGAAATCTAATTCCTTAAGAAGCCAATGCCTGATTCACCATGTGATCCAGCTGTGTCACTCTTGCATATCAAGAGATCAGAGTCTTGCACATCATGTTTATTATGGCAGTATTGAAAACAGTGAGGCCATTGGCACAGTAGAGGAATGTGCAGCTGTAGAGGAATGGAAGAGGAAATTGTGCTACATATACACAGTAAAGTCTTCCATGCTTGCCTGTCCCACCTTGTGGTTTTAGAAGATAAAATGAGAATAAAAACTGAACCAGGTATCAAAGCATTTCAGGAGCTGTCCTGTCTTCAGTCCAACAGTGAAATATCCTCTCTTCCTCTCTCATTGATACCTGAGTCCTTCCTTATTCTAGAAAGATTCCCACAATGAGGATACAGCAGCTGATAGGTACTCCCAAGATTAATTCCATTCACATCTGAGACAATACGGTACTTTTCCATTCATTGCTCAATTAACCATATCAATTAAGACTAGATAAATGATACTGCCAAGCCTTTAGCTCCCAGGTACACCTCAAGGTCTCAGTAGCCATATCTGCCTGGTGGATGTGGTCCTTTTAGAGCAAAAATACAGTCATGTACATTATTCCAAAAAGTTCTGTTGGACAGGTTGTCAAATGAAGGAAAACTGGAAGTTAACAATGTAATGAACAAGTGAGGGGCATGTTATACAGAAATGGAAAGGAACAGTTACGTGTGTGTGTGTGTGTGTGTGTGTGTGTGTGTGTGTGTGTGTGTATGAACACAGATGACACCTGCGAAGAATGCAAAAAAAGAAAATCTTCATTCTATACCATTTGAACACATAGAACGCTGTTGTGTTTTAGGAATTCATATGTAGAAAAAGTGTTGTAGGAATGGTGAACACCAAATTCGGGTTAGCAATCAACTCTGGCAGTAAGAAGGGGGTGCAACTGGCAAAAGTAAATGGGGGCCCAGGTGAGCCATGCTGCTGCTTTCTCTCAGGCCTACAGTGGGCAGAGAAGGAGCTCTTACTTGGCTGACATGGTGGCACACCTTTAACCTCAACACTTGGGAGACAGAGGCAGTCAGATAACTGAGTGGGAGGTCATCCTGGTATAGATCGCCAATTCCAGACCATCTGGAACATAAAGAGAAGTGAGGGAGGAGAGGAGAAGAGTAGGGGAGAGGAGAGGAGATTGCAATCAGTATTCTTTATATGTTAATACACAGATTATTTTAATTTCCATTTTATATATTAAATATAATCAAAATTTCGAGTGGAGGGAGGTTTGTGAGCTTATGATCACAGGGACAACTCTTGTTCCTTCCTCATCTTCAGTGACACGCCACTCAGTTGGTGTCTGCTGCCTGGTCAGCCCACATACTACAATTCTTGTATTGCTACAGTTTCAGCTCTCAGCAGATAGTGTGGATTCACCCCCACCTCAGGTGCCCAGAAATGACAACGTTTTAAACTGTGCATTCATTTTTAGAAACATGCCAAGGGCCTATGGTACATCAGGAATTCCTTCAGTAGCAAGGGGACAACAATAAGCTGTAAGGGAGCTTCCTGCCCTCGGGATTGCCTATGTGAGTGGGAGTATGCTCAGGGAGGTAGGTTTAAATAAGATGGAAAATATAAGTACAACATTGAGAAGGTCAGGTAGACCAGAAGGCGGACTTGAGGTACTGGGAGACATTAGACACTATGAAATAGGACCCTTGTTTGGTGACCTTCAAAGCAAGACCTGCAGTTAGTGAGGGCACCATGAGCAGATGCACCCAATGAAAACTCAAGAGTAAGCCTTGAGGCAGCAGCATACAGGAAGGAAACCGGTTGAGTGCCTACAGAAGGCTAGGATAGCAGCCCAGACATGGAGGAGCCTGTCTGCTGTCTGGCCATTCAAAGGACTTTGGCTCTTGCTGGAGGTGGAGGCTTTTGAAGACGGGAATGGAGTCAGCTGTTTACGTGATTAAAGAGTCATTCTTCTGAAAACAGATGGCAGTGGGGAGTAGAAACAGGGAGACAAGGCAGATGACCATTGTGCCAATTCCTACCACAGGCGAAGGCAGCTGAAACAGGGGAATAGTAATGATAGTATCCCAGGTGGACTACCCACAAGCCACAAAACTAAGAGAATGCTTAGGGATGGCATGAAGGCTTTCGCTTCTCACTTCTCACTAGTAAAAAGAGGGGGAGCCAGTTGAGTGGGAAGAAAGTTGGGGTCAGGTTAGGTTTGAGATGTTTGCCAGACAACTTTCTGAAGTAGAGAGCGGGCAGGCGTGTGAGCATGGTACCCAGGACAGATACAGAGGCTAGAGAAAGGAATTTGGCATGTTGGTGGTTTCAAGGCAAGGACAAGATGGGGCCATCAAGGGAGAAGGTGACACTAGAAAAGAAGTGACAAGTTGCGTGTCTGGAGATGACTTCTAATAAAGTCAGGAAGACAGAGAGGGAGCCATCCAAAGAGATGGAGGAGCCTCAGGCATCAGGTGGGAAACAGCCACACAGAGTTAGTGCCTCAGAAGGCACGTGAAGAAAGTAAGTGGTGCCTCCACACACTAAATGGTGGTCAGGACCCAGGTCAGGGGAAGACACTGGTGGACTTCTGCCTTCTGCACAATGGAGGCCGCAGGAGACCTTGTCAAGGGCAGTTTGGAAAAAGGAGTGCATGGGAAGCCTTTGCTCGGGGCCTAGGAGGCAAAAGAATAAACAGAAGACACTTTTGAGTCTGCCTTGGAAAGAGAGAGGATTTCATGAACTCTGGATACCAGTACATACTGGAATCCAGAACCCAAATATAGCGTATCTTACCTCATCTCAACACACTAGAACATGAAGCAGCTAGAAAACTCCACTAAATTATCAGAACTCTGTTCACTCTCCATGAGCAGAAAGAATTGCCCAGTGAAGCTGGACTATGATAGAAGATGGCCAGAGAAGGTGAGCCTCTTCCTCGAGTTTTCTATGTGACGTCAAATGCCTGTGTCAATGAATCAAAGTCTCCCTGTTGTAAAATGGTGGCTGCAAAAAGTGATTAATAAGTGCTGTTGTGGAACTTGCTAGGAAAGTCGCTTATCTCCCACGGACTTTACCCTCAATTCACCTGCCTCTTACATGACGAAGCCCCGGTGGCACTTAGATACAGGCAAGCTACTGTTGAAGATACACAGCAAAGTTGCCTCTAAAGCCCAGGGGAGCTAATGGACAAGGCAGGCAGGAGGCTGGGCCGCTGATCGCCACTGCAGTCCTGTCCCCTCCCTCCAGAACCTGCAGGAAACTGAGGGGCAGTGCACAAAGGGCTTATTGTCAGAAAGCTACCATTGGAAACCCTCCAACTACTGCTAAGGAAAACCAAACACACAAAAAAATTCCTTCTTAAAGAGTGCGGTAAACTCCTATGAAACCCTAGGATGATCAAAAGTAATGGGAGGAATTAATTTTTGTAAAGGGTCACTCACCTCTTCAGGAAACATTTAAAATTCAAGGTCCATAGTTAGTAAGTAGCAGTAAGTAAAGAGAGAAGTAATTTAACAGTGAGGAATTCTCTTAGAATAGGGGCAGATTATTACTACATCTAAAATAGCTAAGACCTGGGAAGACAATTTTTCATCAAGTTTACTGAATCCAGTCAGATTCATTTAATTCAATCGTGTTAAAATATATGACTTGCATGTGCCTCTGCCTCCTGAGTGGTGAGTGCTGGGATTAAAGGACTGTGCCACCCCACCCCCACCCCGGGGGGTTAGTTTTGTTTTGGTGTTTTTTTTTTTTTTTATTTTACAATATAATTTAGTTCTACATATCAGCCACGGATTCCCTTGTTCTCCCCCTTCCTGCCACCCTCCCCTTCCCCCTAGCCCACCTCCCATTCCGACTTCCTACAGGGCAAAGCCCCCCCCCCAGGATTGAGATCAACCTGGTAGACTCAGTCCAGGCAGGTCCATTCCCCTCCTCCCAGGCTGAGCCAAGCATCCCTGTATAAGCCCCAGGTTTCAAACAGCCAACTCATGCAATGAGCACAGGACCCGGTCCCACTGCCTGGATGCCTCCCGAACAGATCAAGCCAATCAACTGCCTCACCTATTCAGAGGGCCTGATCAGTTGGGGGCCCCTCAGCCATTGGTTCATAGTTCATGTGTTTCCATTCGTTTGGCTATTTGCCCCTGTGCTTTATCCAACCTTGGTGGGTGTTTTATTTGTTTGTTTAGAGAAACCCTGTCTCAAGGGCAATAAAAACCATTTTGCCTGTTTTAAGACCTACCAGAGATTTTTCTGTCGTGTTATAGATAGAAAGTCCTTTTTTTGTGCTTGGAGAGGTACTCTTCCTGAAGAGAACTTTGTTTCATTTGGAAGCCTGAAATGAAGTCAGAAAAGCTTAGTTTTCTCTTAAAATATAACCCTGTCAATTGAGCTATAAAATGGGGGGGGGAAACCTTTTTATTTTTGTTTGCTCATATATACCTTCTAGATTTATAGTTAATTTTAAAAAACAAGAATATAAAAAAACTTGTATTAACTGAAAAGTCAAACTCCAAATTCTCCAAATTTTGGATTAAAGACAATGCCCCATAAAACATTATGGCAAGCAGGCCACTGTGTAGCTCAGTGGTCGATTGCTGGCCTAGCCAATAGAGGCACAAGAACTGCAGCTAAATCCTTAGAAATGATGTTACAAGAAACCTACTGGGCTGAGCATGTTCGCATGTGTTGTGTGTATACCGAGACCACAGTGGTTGTAGTAGATTAGAACTGAAGTCTCCATAATCTCAACAAAATGCTTCTTCAGTTATTATTAACGAACAAACAGTGGTAATGGGGGAGATAGTAGCCAAAATGCAGACAGATATCATTCATCTTCTGTGAAAGCAACTAATAAGAGAGCCTAAGTTAGACTAGAGTTGTCTCTACAGAAGTTGCTGGTGATGAGGAAGAGTGCATGAAGGACAGAAGGAAGCACTTCTGGCGACAGGAAGAACAAGACAAAGGGGCATCTATCTTCTCATTACAAGGTGAAGGGGAAAGCATGGCACAGGAGTCAACAGCAGGGCTGGAATGGGGGAGCAGAACAGAAGTTCCCAAAAGGCTTTGAAAAGACAGAGCCCTGTCCAAACAGGGTCATAACAACCAGGACTGCACTCTAACCTGAATACAAAGAAATACACAGAATGCTTCCAAGCAAAGGATCATGTGACATGTGACGACATTCTAAGCCTCTGTTATGTTTTCAATGTGAAATGTCCCCCTTAGGCTCATGTGTTTGACAACTTGGCGGCGCTACTTGGGAAGGTTGGGTCTGTTTAGGAGGTGGGGTCTCACGGGAGGAAGTACATTACAGGGGATGGGATTTGAGGTTTTATAGACGATAAGTCTAACTTGCTGTTTTCTTGATGCTTCCTGAGTGTAGATACACTGTGACAAGGCAGCTTCCTGGTTTTGGCCATCATGCTTTTCCTGCCAGGATGGATGCTATCCTTCTGGAACTATAAGCCAAAATACTTTTTCTCCCTTAAGATGTTTTTGTCAGAGCATTTCCTTACTGAAACAAAGGAGAAATTAATATACCCTTTAAATGTGGTTTTTTTTTTCCTGTTGGAAATGTAAACTACAAGTTCAATGAAAGTGTACACATTAAGCCAAGTGCATACAACTCAAGTCCCAACTATTTGAGAGACAAAGATAAAAGGATTCTAGAGGTTCAAAGCCAACCTCACCTTATCTCTGTACATAACAAGACCTTATCTCAAAAGAAAGCCACAGACACCATAGGGGATGTATTAAGAGAGCACACACAGCCATCCCATCCATCCCACTACCCATCAGTTCTGAATGCCCATCAACAAGGACCTGGCAGGTGCACACGTAATGCATCTGGGGAAAAGACTGAAGCAATGAAGTCCATAATCTCTTTAGGAAAGAAAGACAGCCGTAGAACAATAGGATTTCCATGTCCTGGGTGAAAAGTGACGGCATTGTATGAAGGCTGCTTTTAACAGGAAAAGGAAGGTTTGTTTCTGCACAAAGTGTCGCCGGAAGAATGTATAAGAAAGCGGTCCTCTTCTGGACGAGGACACAAATGGGACCTGCCGTGGGAAGCTTACTTCACTCCCATTTGATCTTTTGCTGTATTGCTTGAATCCTATGCTATGTGTATACCTGTTTTAAAATATTAGAAGCACAGATTAAAACCATACATCGCAGCTTGTTCTATGGACATATTTCTCTTTCCATGCCCACCTGCCTGCTCAAAAATGGCTCTACATTCTGTCTGCTCTATAAGCCTCCACCCTTAGATCCATAGTCATTCCTAGACTGTGTGGCCCTGGGCACACTCATTTTTTCTCAATTATTTTTTTGTCTGCTTTTCCTGCTCTATATTTGTTTTGAGACAGAGTCTCATGTAGCCCAGACTGCCCTTGAATTTTTTGTGTACTTAAGGATGGCCTTGCACTTTTGATCCTCTTGCCTGTAGCTCCCTGGTGCTGAGATTACAAGCATGCACCCCTGTGCCCAGTTTATATGATGCTGGATCGATTCCATGGCCCTATGTTTGCTAGCACACTGTCAACTGACTGTACCCTCAGGCGCCCTCAACTACTTCTTCATTAATTGAAGCTAATGCTTGGGGAAATGTTCAGAGCCTCATGGGAAAGCCTCTGCTTGAACTCTGTGCTGCTGATAAACTTACTCCATCGTGGCCAATAACAAACCGTATCTTTCTGGAGTTTGTTTACCGCTCTAGTGTCCTAATCGCTTCCTCAGTCATCCCATGCTTTTCTTGTCCACAGACTACTGGGTCAAAACCCCTAAAGAACTAATGTGTAATTTTTACAATTAAAACAAAAAAGAAACGACTAAGCTTTGGGAAGTAAAGATGAGAACGATGTCTAAGAACTCACGCTTGAAGGCAGGTGTGCCTTGGAGACTCTGAGTCCCAAGTACAAGAAGGACCTCTGTCTCATATGCCTTTGACTCCCAAATGCTCGCTTTGCCCTATAGTCTCAGCTCAGAAAATAGAGTAGGAGGTAAAATACATTTTTGGAGATGCATTTTTCTATGCTATTGCTGTTTCATCACAGAAGTTAATCTGGAGCAGAATCGGCCTTGCCATCAACCTGCAGAAATCTGGACCTCAAGTGTTTCACAAAATAACAGTTTGCATCCACTCTTAACCTGTAATGTTGGTGCTGTCGTCTTCAACTTCATGTTTTTATTTGTTCTATCTCCTCTAAACCCAAAATATGAAACAAAAATTACGATGTTCTTATTTAACTGAGAAAGGAGAATGCAAGCTGTTAAACCAAGGACCTTTCTTAAAATGTCTTCCAACACTTTATGCGATCAGTCATAATATTTATATGTACTCAAGCACTTTGAAATCTCAAGCTGTTTGAACCAGCTGTCATGTTTGTGTCAAACTGCGGTCATTTGAATGTGAAACAAGGGTCAATGGCAAGGGTGGGGGCGGTATGTCTTCTTCCCTTCCTATTAGTGAAATCATTTACAGCTATGGAACTCTGCTTCAGTGCTCCAGCAATGAGTCCCTGCTGCAGATTCCTGTTATCTAGGTCACATGGAATTTCATAATTGTTCGCAAGCAAACTATGTAGAAGAAAAGTGTTAAATTAATATGAAAATAACTATCAACAACCAAATATACACACTGACCAGTCCTGTATATGTATTTTTGGTATTAACCAAGACACATTTATATCTGAGACTGATTTCTAGTATGAATGTAATGTCAATTGATTTCTGTCTTTTTGAATATGTCTAAAAGAAAATGCATGGTGACTTTTTATTGCCTATTTCAGGATTTGTAAAAAAAATAAACTTTTAATGCAAAATTGGCTTTTAAATTTTAGTGGAAAATAAATTGCTTATGCCTGAAGTTTATTCTCTTTGTTTACTGTTTAATCCATGAACAGTAGGCCTTACCCGCTCTGGTCTGTACTGCTGACTTGCTGGGAAATTGTTTTTAAACTTTTGGCTTCGACCTGAAGGAAAACTTGGCAGTGTGGTCAGGACACTGAACTGAGCACAATCCTTCACAGGGTCTTGCTGTGTAGCCCAGGCTAGGGTACAGACTTGTAATCCTCCTGCCTCAGCTGTTTAGGTGCTGGGACTTTAGGCATGTACCAGCACACAGAGCCAGAACTATTTTAGTATAAGAGTTACTAAACAATGAATGCTTTGAATTCTGCATTCCAGGTCTTGAGCAGGCATAGTCCAAGGCATCCCCCAGGAGAGCAGTAGTTATCTGGATGCTGCATTTTTCCTTTAGTTTTGGTTCTCCTCTGATTCATTCATCCATTCATCCAAGGAATATAGTTACTGAGCACCTACTGTAAGCCGGACACTACTCCGGTACCGGAGTCAGTGCTTCTGGAAACAACATACTCTAGGAGCTCACACTGAAATGGGAGAGACAGGCAGCAAGCACAGAAATACATCAAGACAGTGGTAAATTTTAGGATGAAAACAGTGTGCTGATAGGCTAGAGAGTGAGCTGAAGAGGGGCTGCCTTAATTGTGGCATACAGAGGGGCTCTCTGGGGATGGTGCTGTTGACAGAAGAGCAGATGATGAGACTTGTCAGAGCAGAGCTTACAGGGAGATGGGGCTGCGAGAACTAAAGGCCTGGGCATGGCATGGTCAAGGAGCAGTTGAGTTGGGGCTGAGGGAGGAGGAGAGCCCAGAGACTGGAGCAAGGCCCTCAGGCCACATCTGTGTTAATGGCAGTGGGATTCCAACACAAAATCACTCCAGTTGCTGTGTGCAGACAAGACAGGGTGCTACACAGGACACACTCCCAAGAACTAAAAGGGATTTCCAGACAGCCCAGCAAAAGAGAGTGACCTAGACACAACCCAGCATAACTCTGGTAAGGACTCAGCCTTGAAGTCAGTACTGAGAGAAGTCCTGAAATCTCAGACCAAGCAGCCTGATATTTTCCTTAAAAATGACTTCCTAAGAGTTTTACATCTAGTATCCACTTATGAGTGAGTACATACCATGTTTGTCTGAGTCTGGGTTACCTCACTCAGGATGATATTTTCTAGTTCCATCCATTTGCCAGCAAATTTCATGATATCATTGTTTTTACTGCTGAATAGTACTCCATTGTGTGTATGTACCACATTTTCTTTATCCATTCTTTAGTTGAGGGGCATCTAGGTTGTTTCCGGGTTCTGGCTATTACAAATAATGCTGCTGTGAACATAGTTGGGCAAGTGTCCTTGAGCTGTAAAGCAAAGAACAACCAGATTACAACCTACAGTTCCAGAGAAGCTAGGTAACAAGAAGGCCCTAAGAGGGATGCATTTTATCACCCTGGGAAGGGGAAATAGATGAGATCTTCATGAGTAAACTGGGGGTGTGGGCGCGCAATAGAGGGTAAGGGATGGGGGAAGAGAACATAAGGGAACAGGATGGTCAAGCTGAAACAGGGAGAGCAATGAAAGAGATACAGTGATAGAGGGAGACATCAAGGGGATAGGGAGAAACCTGGTGCTAGGAAAGTTCCCAGGAATCCACAAGGATGACCCCAGCTTAGACTACTACCAAGAATGGAGAGGGTGCCTGAACTGGCTTACCCAGCAATCAGATTGGTGAATACCCTAACTGTCATCATAGAGCCTTCATCCAGTAATTGATGGAAGCAGATGCAGAGATCCACAGCCAAGCACCAGGCCAAGCTCCAGGAGTCCAGTCAGAGAGGGAAGAGTTATTCTGTGAACAAGGGGCATCAAGATCATGATGGGGAAACCTACAGAGACAACCAAACCAAGCTAGTGGGAACTCATGAACTTTAGACCAACAGCTATGCATAGAGCCTCCATGGGACTGCATACAGGAGACAGTTGTACAGCTTGGTCTGCTCAAGGGGCCCCCTGGCAGTAGGATCAGGATCCATTCCTGGTGCATGAGCAGGCTTTCTGGAGCCTGCTACCTCTGGTGGAACACCTTGCACAGCCTTGATGCAGGGAGGAGGGGCATGGATCTGCCTCAACTGAATGTATCATGCTGTGCTGACTCCCCATGGGAGGCCTTACCTTGTTGGAGGAGGGAATGAGGGGTGGGTTGAGGGAGGAAGGCTGAGGGGAGGAGCGAAGAGAGGGGGATCTGGGCTTGGTATGTAAAATGAATAAAAAGTTTCTTAATAATAATAAAAGAAAGAGGTAATGAGCATCACCTTGCTTCCCTCTAATAATCCTGCTTTTACAAAGCACATTCCTGACACCACGTGATCACAGAGGATTAGAATCAGGGTAAGTATGTGGCCTCTTAAGTGATTTGGATTCCTTCTGCCATGACTACAGTACAAATTACCAGTATGTCAAAATAGCAAATCAAGGCTAAGGATACAGCTATGTGGTAGAGCACTTGCCTACCATGTGCGAGGGTGCAGTTCTGTCCCTCATTACACACACACACACACACACACACACACACCAAAAGAAAAACAAATCAGATCATTTGGGGGCTTACAAAAAATTCAAAATGAATAAAATTTCTCTAAGTTTTGTTTGCCTGTAAATGCATTTCTAAAGTAGCAATAGACAAGCCATACTCCGTGTTTCTCTTCCTCTTGAGCCTTAGAGGCTGTCTTTTACTTGAAATCTGATTAACTTGTCAGCATACCAAGGCCTAAATAGCTCAAAGTTACTTTCATAATGAGATTTTTTTTTTCATAAAGAGATCCACAGCCAAGTCCTACATCATAGCTTTAGTCACTAGGAAAATGCTTGCTGTCAAGAAATTGAGTTCAGTTAATACTTACAATTAGTATTTAAAAAGTTTAAGTCTTATTTTTAGAAGACATTATGAACTTCATCTAAAGATACTGAAATGTTGGGCTGGGGATTTAGTGCCTGCATACTATGCATGAGCTGTGGGTTCGATTTCCAGAATCCCATCAGCCAGGAATGGTGGTACACACCTGTAATCCTGGCACTTGGAAGGCTTGAGGATTGGAAGTTCAAGGTTATCCTCAGCAACCAGAAAGATCAAGGCTAACTGAGATACATGAGACACTGCCTCAACCTAAAACAAAATTTAAAAACCCAAACCAAAACCCTAGAGATGCTGAAACATCAGCAAGGATTAGGATAAATGACTTACTAGCTAATTATTGGCACCTACAGTGCTAAGCATTGAGATAGCCGTGGTCAGAAGAAGACAAAACCCACGAAAAGTTTTTGCCAGCACTGAACTTACATTGGAATGGGGTGGGTGTGACAGGTAATTAAGTAGTAAGATGTCAGGTGACAGGTGCACAGGGGAGCAAAAGCATGGGAGGACTGGAGAGAAAGAACTGCTGTTTTATACATAAGAGAAGAAGTCAGTCAGAAAGAGGAAAGAGATTGCCGGCTGAAGGACAACCAGTACTGAGGGCAGATGCATGCTTGATATGTGTGAAGAAACAAGAAGTAGCTGTGTGGAATGGGGGAATGTCTGCAGAACTAAAGGTGGGGGAGTGGGGGAGTGGCTTGTGAATACTCTTGTCTTTGCTACCAGGAGTTTCAAGGAGAGGACATGAGATCTGGCTGATGCCACAAGATCACCCTGGCTGTTGTGATAATAGTGTGTGGTGATAGTGGTGGTGGGTGGTGGTGGGTTGTGGTGGTGGTGGTGGTGGTGGTGGCAGCGGCGGCGGCGGCGG